AATTCTTTCCTTAATAACAGTTTCCACCACCTTCCCTGGTATCGACGTCAGACTGACTGGCCTGTAATTTCCCGGATCTCCTCTGGAACCCTTTTTAAAGATGGGTGTGACATTAGCTACCTTCCAGTCCTCAGGAATGGAGGCAGATTTGAATGAAAGATTACATATTTAATGAAAGATTTACATATTTTTGTCAGGAGAACTGCAGAATTCTCCTGTTTCATTTTTTTACACCAAGATTCCAGTCCATATGAGGATAACCTCCAGGAAAGGTATAGCAGCTTGAAGAGCCCAGACTAGCCTATATTTCTCCAAGTTGGGAAGCTATGCAGGGTTGGTCCTGGTTTGTACTTGGATGTTGTTGTTGTTCAGTCGCACAGTCGAGTCCGACTCTTCACGACCCCATGGACCAGATCATGCCAGGCCTTCCTGTCTTCCGCCGTCCTCTGAAGTTTGCTCAACTTCATGTCCGTTGCATCGATGACACTGTCTAACCATCTCATCCTTTGCCGTCCCCGTCTTCTTTGACCTTCTCTCTTTCCCAGCATCAGGGTCTTCTCCACTGAGTGCTCCCTTCTCATTTGGTGGCCAAAGGATTTGAGCTTCAACTTCAGGATCTGGCCTTCCAGGGTACAGTCAGGGTTGATTTCTTTTAGGATTGACTGATTTTATCTTCTTGCAGTCCAAGGGACTCTCAAGAGTCTTCTCCAGCACCACAGTTCAAAAGAATCTATTCTTCGGCGCTCGGCCTGGGGCCTTGGATGGGGGACCACCAAAGAGGTCCAGGGTTGCTACACAGAGGCAGGCGATGGCAAACCACCTCTATTTGTCTCTTGCCTTGGAAGCCCAAAGCGGTTGCCATACGTTGGTGCCTCAATGGCATTTTATGTTTATTCAAAAAGGGTACGGCAGACAGCGGTTGCAGGAATCAGGTACAGATACTGTGATATTATGTGAAGATCATCACTAACCTAGATAGTCCAGGCTAGCTGGATCTTGTCAGGTCTTGGAAGTTAAGCAGGGTCAGCCCTGGCTAGCATTTGGATGGGAGACGGCTTGGAGACGGAGATGAGCGCCGCAACCCTAGAGTCGGATTCGACTGGCCTTCGAGCGAGGAAAACCTTGGCCTTTACTTATTTGTCTACTGTGCTGCCCTTGTATGAGGAAGATGACGAGCAGAATGATGGTGAGGCCTTTGTGTGCCGTCGTCAGCAAGCCATCTTAAATAGCTATCCACTATCGCCAGCCCTTTTTGAATCAGGATTTATTTATAATTGAACGGGTTTTATAGGATTTTACGTGATTTTAATTGTTGTTTGTATTGGCCAGTGTACGCTGCCCTGAGCCTGCTTGCGGGGAGGGCAGCGTATAAATTGAATGAATGAATGAATAAAGGAATAAATACTGTTCCCTTGGTAGATCCACGAGAGCTAGTAAAGAATACATCCTTGCCCCCCCTAAAGGGGTTACAATCTTATGCAGCGAGCCAAATAACGAACAAGGTTGACGGCATTTTTGGGCTGCCAGCGGAGAAAGGACACTGAACAAGGTGCCCGCGGCCCAAGGCAGGGAGGGTAGTGGGGAGTCGCGTGCCCCCCATTTCGTTTCAGAATCCTCGTGGGGTGCTTTCCGACAGGATCATGCAAAAGAGAGAGATGTCGACCCCTCGCTCAAAGACTGTTTCTCTGGGCAGCACAGTGCGAGTCTCCGTCTCAGCCGGATGCGCCCCCCCCCCCCCCCCACC